ATTTGTTATTTTTTTTTGTGCTTTGCATTTTATCATAGATTGAAGACCAAATAGAATGTTTTCAGTTACTGGATATTAAACATAATTGGCTTGTTCATTGTTCGATATCGAATAATTCTTCAATAAATTTAAATCTTATTTTCGAAAGTATAATAAATATTTTTTCTCTTTATTTAATTTATGTTTATATAATATTATTAGATAATCAATTATTTGTAAGGACAAAAGAATCTATTCCAATTGGTACAAGTCTTTGTTTGAATAAAATTATTCTTCCAAAATTAAATATGAATAAAGATATTCAAATAAAAAAAGAACCAACAGAAACTGAAATGAAAATCGAATTACCAACTAAAGAACATTATCGTAAGATTTTATTTCATTTGATTTTTAAATTGAATAAAATTTTATTTCGATTTTTGTTTTTCTTAGCTCTTATTTTTATGTGTGATACATGCGGTGTTCGATTTAGTAATCGAAATACATTAGATGCACATCGTCAACATTATTGTACGAAACGAGAAACAACAAAAAGTCATTCGACAGGTAAATATGTTTTATAGATAAAAGTATATCTAATCTTCTATAGAATAAAAGCCATTCATTGCCATAAAATAAAATGCATATCTATACTTTATAGATTCAACTATTGCGGCTGGAATAAAAAGCATAAAACGCAAATCTACTGATGTAATTGATTCGTCATCAACGTCTACAAAACGTTTATCTTTATTATCAAATGATACTTATTGTCATGAATGTGATATTTTATTTTCTAAGACAGATAACTTTATTCAACATAAATTATATTATTGTCAAACAAATTCATCTTCTTGTAAATTACAGAATAAATCTATACCATTTGATCGTCCAGTTCAAATTGGACAATTTATCTATGTCCCTATACCTGTTATTTCTTCACAAATTGATATTTCACATCAGGATAATAAACCATTAGATTTAAGTAAACCAAAGAAGAAAAATGATGAATATGAAAGGCAAATTGTTCCAGCAAATTTACCATTAGATTTATCGACTGAAAAAACGAAAAAGATTTTTCAACAACAACTGTTTCGATGTGAATATTGTTCTATATGTTTTCGTTCATTAAAAAATTTACATGCACATCAAGATAATTATTGTATTGCATATCGAAAACAAAACAAAAATGATCATAATAATCTATCAACAGATGTTATTGAAAATAATCGGTAAGAATCAAAAAATGATCTTATCAGATACTCAATATAATCTAAACAAGAGTTTGAATATTGAAAAAGAAATCAATATTTTTGTGGTCTTAATGTAAAGCGATGTAATGATTAGAATCTATTAATTTCTCAATGCAAACTTGAACTGAAGAAATCTATGCTAACAATCAGGAGATCAACGTAACACTAAAATGCATAGAAAGTTTTAAAATTTTATTATTTATTATTAATTTTGGTATAAATTTTTCAAGAGAAAAAGTCTAATGATAGTCAAACAGATAGATTATCAAGGAATTTTGGACAGTTTAACGCCTTGTCTTGTTAATAATAAACTTCTTATTTAATAGTTTCTTCGATCTGAAGATAGTTCTGCGATATAGCAGTCTAAAAACTGAGAATCATTAGAACCAGTGTTATGATCTTCAAAACTGACGATCTTACTTTATAAAATAAATCAAATAATAGTAAATATTAAACAATTTAATCTGGCAACTTGCATCTTTCTAGAAGCTGTCAAATACTTCAGGATACCTTCCTCTTCTTTTCGATTACTCTCGAGTCTTCGAGAGAGTACAGCTGGTTGGACGCGAGTTTTTACCACAGCTAGACTATTGAAAATGATGGAGCCCGTTTTACAGGAAAAAACTTGACAAGCAGGTGTTGCAGAGGTTTTGAAGATATCATCCAAAATTCCAGAAAATCTGCTTTAAAAAATTTTTCTTGGAACATGGTTCCCGTCATTTTTGATAATCTAGTTGTAGTAATAATTAAAAATCGATCAGTTATACTCTTGCAGAGAACGAGAAGTACTTTATAGAGGGGGGAAATATTTTTAAGTCTACTTCCAGTCAATATCCTACTGAACATTATTCCAGTAGATTGGTACTAAGCGGGTATCCGCTTGGGCGATAGACTAGTTTGTTTAGTATTGTAAGAAAAATTTTTCGACAAGTTAGTTGATTGAACATTGAAAATTGTTCTTGAGTCAAGTATTGGAAAAGTCGAAAAGTTCCTGTTACTTATTTGTCGTAGAATGTTCTTTTGAGTGCCTTGAATCCAGTATATTCACTAGAGTAAATATTTTTATAATTTTATCCTTGTATCAAAAACTCGAATGATTGATATTCTATGATGATTAATAAATTATACTATACTATGAAAATTTATATTTCAATATTCTTGATTCAAACAATATTTCTCTTATTTTGAAAATAGTTCTCAATCACCTGCATTATTTTCGTCGAACACTTTAAACTCTTCTCCAAATGGTTCACTAAATTCAATACATCGTCCATTTCTATTTATATGTCGTTTATGCAAGTATCAAGGAAATACTCTTCGTGGAATACGTATGCATTTTAAATTTCATTTGTCAAATAATGAATCTTGCACTGATGATGATATTATTATAAAATCAACAATGAACTCTTTAACTGTTCCAATACAAACAAATCAATTATTACTGAAATGCACGATCTGTTCTGCAATGTTCGATTATGAAGAAATACTTTTAAAACATATTATAAATGTACATACAAATAAAGCTTTACGTGAATGTTTAGAATGTCAATCAAGATTTAGTTCGAGATGGAATTTAACTCGACATATGAAATTAGCACATACAAATATAAAAAAAGATGATGATGATAATGATGATGATGATGATGAACAAAATGATCAACAAATAAAATCAAATGAATGTTTATTAGATGAAAATGATCAATCATCAGATTCTACGAATCTCATTCAAAAGATTCTTATGAAACCAATAGATAATAATTTAATGCATAAAAACTTATCTTGTCCTTTTTGTCATGTTAAATTTAGTAGGATTGATACCTTAGAACAACATATGATAAATTATTGTGCATCCCGACCATCAACTAAAGAGGTGCTAAAATATATTAGCAAAACAAAAACAAATGATACATATTGTTCGTCATGTCAAATTTCATTTCAACACAAAACTTCTTATGATGCACATAAAATGTATTATTGTCCTGATAGTAGTAAAGCTCATGTTAAAATATTAGTTTGAAGATTTGTTTTCATTTTTTTTGTTTGTTTGTTTGTATTTTTACATACGGTCTGTTTCTTTTTCATTCAAGTAATTATAATTGGCAACTGGTAAAGAAAATCTTTTTTTTCTAGAAGCAAACGTAACAGAGAAAGAGTGATAGTTGAAACATGAGATTTTGTGAGATTAAATTACTATTTAATTGAATACTAACGAGCGAACATATTCAACTGTCGGACGTCGTTCGACTTCATATGATGGTTAAGAGTAAGTCCTTGTACTGCTACGAAAATATTAAAAAGATTCGAGACAATATCCTGTTAATAAAAAATTATGGTCTTTTTAATGAAAATTTTACTGACAAGGAAACTACCTCAACTAACGGTCATCGTCGTTTAAGCTCATATTGGATTTGTAAGTAGATCTAAGGACGACTGGAATATTCTGAAAATTGCAGCCAAAAAGAATTTTCCTTCTTCAAGTTATTTAATTTTCAAGTAAAGACGATTTTCCTGGTATGTCTGTGGCAAAAGGCTATTTTTGAAAATTTTATATCTTGACGAAAGAATATTTTTTTTCGGCTGAAGTCTTCATGATGTTCTTAGAGTTATTAGATCTATCTATAGACAAACTTTTAGATCAAGATTCCTTCATTGGATTTTTTGAGAACTACCTACAAATGAATCAAAAATTCAGTAAATCGATCACAACTCGACGACAAAGACTCATGGACAATTGAGTTAATTTTCTCTTGAGAGCAACGTGTCTCCAAAAAACTTAACACAAAGAATTTTTACCCAAAATTTTTTCTATAGACACTTTGAATAGCTATGATAATCTACTTGTTTTTTCAAAAATCGAATATATCGAGAAAGGCATTCGTTTTTATGAAAAACTTTCAGAACTATCTAATGACTAATAAGTCTCTCTATAAAAAATACCCAGGCCAAAACTCTTTTTGTAGGTTTTTCGGAAATGCTTTGCTCTCAGTGAAAGTTTTATTAAAAAGAACAGAACTCTTTATCATTAAATCATGTTCACAAATTCTTTTAACTTTTTCTTAGTCACACAAAAACCTACTCATAGCCATGATATACAGTCCAACGAAGTCCGACAGTTACATGTGTATTCCTTCATAAGATGAAATTTTGATGCTGAATATTCGAACTTTTCTGGAAACGTTTTCCTTAGCAGAGTAAAACAATTGTGATACTCTGACTTTCATCTATTACCTTCAAAACATTATCGAATACATTTCAGTTTAGGTCCGTAGATCCTGTTACTAGTATTATTCGAAGACCGATGAGCCATTGACGAACTTACAGTGATAACCAGTTGTTTTTTATTATTCAGTGACCTTTATACTGCAAGAAGGTAACGACGCTGATAAATCTGCAATCACCATGGGTTCTTCTGGTGTTTACCGTGTTCATCATAACATTCTTAATCTTCCACAATGAAATCTTGTGAATGGAATTCGATTGAAAAAAAAATCGATGATGTTCATCTATAATACACTCTTTCAACAATATATAGCAACCAAAAAAAAAAAAAAGAAATAAATCATTGATTCGATCTATAGAGAGTATCATTATTCTTTTGCATTCATTGCAATAGAAGAAAAAAGAAGCCTAATGCTGTTGTCATCAATGAAAAAAAAAATGTAGATATGTAAGTACCAGCTGATGCATTTAAGTACATATAAAACTAGACGTGCGTTATTCTGTCATGCAGTAAATGATTGTATTCATTAAGAATTAGTCTGTAAAACGATGTTTGATCCAATCGATTCCGATGCTATATATGGTCCACTTGATGAAAGTGAAGAAGCGGTAGCTGCTGCTAATGAATTAGCAGAAAAAAATGACGACCCTGATATGCAAGTAATATTAATGAATTTTAATTTTTTCTATAAATAAAAGAAATATATGTATATATGTTTAGATGTCCGAAACTGTTCATATACAATTACTAGATGATTGTTATAATTGCTTTAATGATGGTAAAACAAAAATTGGTAAAGAATTTTTTTTTTCCTTGATTATTGATTTATTATTAAAAAACTATTTATTTAAGATTATATTCTTGTCTATGAAGATAAACGTACAACAACTACTGATGAATTAGTGATTTCATTATCAACAACGATGAATAATGATGAAAATGAAAAGTTGGCTCTTGCATTACAAAAGCAAAAAGATAGACGTCGTTTATTTAAAAGAAGATTTCTTAGTAATTTATCTAAAATAGGTCTTTTAATGGAAACTGTATGTTTGTTATTAAGATTAATTTTGAAAGAAAATAACAAGCTGAATTTTATATTTTTTTTCAAAGGAAGTTCGTGAAAGTGATCGAAGTTTTGTTTATTTTATTAAAATTCATATACCATGGTTATTACTGCTTAAATATGCTGAAGACTTGAATTTTCGTGTACCAATTCGAGTAATTTGAATGATAAAAAAAAAATGAAATTTTATTTCATCTTTCTTTTCATCTAATTTAGGCAGTTAATAATTATAGTTGTAAAATAAGATTTGTTGATCGTATACTTCGTTTTTTACATCTTTCACATAATCCATTTTTATCTGAAGCATCTAAACGTTACTATGATTTATTTACATCTGTATTTGAAATATCAAAACAAGATCGTTTTATGGGTAATAATCATTTTCCTGTTCATTTTACAAATACTCAACGAAGTTTTGCTGTACATGAAATTTTACAAACAACACTATTTGGTCGAATAGAAAAAGGTGAAATTGGTATTGATCGTTTATTACGTGAAAGAGTATTTCAAGCTGCTTATCCATTACATGAAGGAGATTATAGATTTAATGCAACAGAACAACCAACACCATTGAATGAAAATAATCCACGAAGAATTTTATATGACACATGGGCACGTTATAGATTTTTTTATAAATATCAACCATTAGATTTAATTCGAGAATATTTTGGAGAAAAAATCAGTCTTTATTTTGCTTGGCTTGGTAAGGTTCACTATTTATTTTTTCTTTTTATTGAATATTTTGAAAATCAAGAAATTTCTTAGGTCTTTATACAACTTGGCTTTTACCAACATCATTAATCGGTGTATTAGTCTTTTTTTTCGGCTTTATTCATTTATCTAATGATGTACCTGCTTATGATGTTTGTACGATTGGAAAGAATATTACAATGTGTCCCATTTGTGATGCGGTAAACAATATTAAAGATAAATTTTTAAGAACTATTTATGAATGAGATAAATATTTTTTATAGTGCATATTACATATATGTAGTCTAACATTGAGATCAGCTAAATAAAGAATATCTCATTGAGCTCATTGTTATATATGCACATAGGAGGAAGACATGTTTTTTTTTCTTCAATAGCGAAAATATAATGAATCATATCTATTGAAATTAATTGAGAGTAGAAGAGTTCTGTTATTAAATCGACTGTTTTCTCTATGAAATAATTTTCATGTTAATGCCATATCCAATAAACAGTACATAAAGGTAAAAGTTAATCAATAGTAACTGATTCTATCGTAAGACTTTTATAACATTGAAGATGTCTGATACTGAGTTCTTTCAGAAATGTGTAATCTTTTAAGAACTATCATTAGATGATAAGAAAATCAATAATAAGAAGACTTTGTATCAAAATTCGAAACATCATTTAACAATTAGTGAAACAAGCAAGATCTGTGTTGACATCAAACATTCAAATCTGTTTGTATCAATTAAAACTTTTTTCACTCTAGATCATCTATTTCGAAAATTTTATTATACTTTTCGTTGTAGACAGACTATATTGATCAGAACTAATTCAAGTCGAAAGATTTGTAAATGATGAAATTATCTTAATATATTAAAACACATTCATGAATTATTCTTTTTCAAGTAAACTCACTTGAGGAGACTCAGGTAGGAAAACATCGGAAATTGATGTGCCTTGCATGTCGTATTCTGAAGTGAAATGTTTCCAATTTTTGTGCCTGATGATTTCCGACGAATGTTTTATTCGTTGCAATGATAAACAGCTGAAAGTTACCGAGAAAATCAGAAGACTTTCCGATTTGGTAAACTATATCCAAGTGTCATCGGTTTTTGAAGTTTTCTTACTAATTTAATTGAGCCTCTGACATCTTTTGAATCAGTTCCAGTCAATATTACTTGTTTTTCGGAGTTCTGAGTCATTGATCTGACCTCGCTAGATAATAAAGATTCTCAAAAAAAAATAAATACAATTTAAATCGATGTCGAAAAATATTATTTTTAAGATTACTTAATGAGAAGCAAAGCAATACTGAAAAGTTTTATTGACTACAGTCCGATCTTTTCGCAAAATTGATCTATTATTCAAACTATTCATATCATACATGTCTAATTCACGGATAATACTAAAATATATAAATATCATACACTTCATTTTAGTGTCCGTATTGGAATCTTTCGGATATATGTTCATATGCACGTCTTGGTGTGTTTTTCGATCATCCAGGAACCGTCTTTTATGCAATATTTATGTCGTTCTGGGGTAAAAAAAAGATACCAAAACCGATTATTAGAATTTTTTTTTTTAAATCATCTAGCGGTAACTTTTCTCAAACGTTGGAAACAGAAAAATGCTGCAATAACACATCGATGGGATCTAATGGAATTTGAAGAAGAAGAAGTACAGTTTTCTTGTTATTGTGAAACGATTAAATTTTTTCTTTTAATTTAATAAGAATCGACCTCGACCTGAGTTTGTAATACGTTCATCAACAGTTGAAAAAAATCCTGTTACTGGAATTCTTGAACCTTATTTTCCAGCAGCAACTCGTCAATATCGTATATTATCTGGTGTTATGATTCTTACTGTCATGGTAGAATAAACATAGCCACTATTGTTTTTCTTAATATATTTATTTATTTTGATGAATTTAAGATTTGTATGGTTATTATATTTATCATAGCAATAATTGTTTATCGAATAATTATTAGTATTCCATTATTTCGAAGTCAAGATTTACGGTAAACATGAAAATTCATAAAATAGAGGGTCTTGCCAGTTAAGATAATTACCCTTTATTTGAAAAGCTACTCATATCGTGGTGTAGGTCAACTTGTGATGCATTGAATAGTATATGGGAAACCTCCTTTTCATCAGGTTTTTATGTTGTGAGAAGCTATATACCAGTTAAATGATATTATAGTCATTGTTGATTATATGACCAAATACTAAAACTCAGTATGTCTCGACAAAGGCAATTAACTAACCGTGCAAATGTCTCAACGATTGTATATCATGAAGCTCTATAAGTATACCAATTGGTTATCCTCTGAATTGATGGGGTTCATCGTCAAATCGACCAACCAATGTTTAAAAAGTGTTCAATTTTTTGGATTTCTAAAAACAGAAAAGTATATTATTTTTTAGATAAATATGTTTTGAGTGAAAAATTCGTATCTCTTAGTAATAAATTCATCGTATCCCATCCTTTGACATATACCGATCTTTGAAATGCGGCAAAAATATTTTTGCTTCCAGGTTTCTGAAGAAGAGTATGGAAATATGCAAAATTTTTGATTCTCATATGAGACCGAGCATATATTGGATCTAATACCACTTCATATTTTAATCACATCCAATCATTCAAAATCTGAATTCGTATGGAATAGAATAAAATAAAAATTTATCGTTGTGACAGAGTATTGTGAAATAATTATTGACAGATAGAAAATTTTACACTTAAAATGTATTTATCGCAAAACTCATATACTTTTCTGCTCTTAGAAATCGAAAAATTGACTTTTTTTTAGGCATTGATTGGTCAATTAGCCCATGACGGACATCAATTCAAAGGGCAATCAATTATTAAATTTATAGAGCTTGGTGATACGCGATTTCTGAGAAAGTGGCATGGTTGCTCGACTTTGCCATCATGAAAATTATCAAACAATTTAAAATATCATAAAAATCAAAAATTACAGAATCTAGTAAAAATATTAAGGTTTTGACTACGAAGAAAATTATTGTACGTATTTTATTATATATTCTCGATTTAAGACCAAACAAATTTTGATATAGATTGATTTAGATACATAGTGAATCCTAATATTTGGTCCTATCATCTACCATTGCTATAATATTCTTTAACTAGTACATGACTCTCCAGAATATTAAAACTTGATGATAAAACAATTGTCAATATATTATTCGATGCGTCACGAGTTCTTCCACGAGATAGTAACGGTGACTTTTCAAATGGAGAATGATCATTTTGTTCGACAGGAACTTTTCGATTTAAAATTATTGTGTTTTTTTGTTGTAGACAATATGCACTTAGTGTTGCATCGATTAGTGGAGCTGTGATTAATTTAATTATTATTATGGTATTAGGTCGATTATATGAAATTATTGCTTATAAATTAACACAATGGGGTTTGTTGATTTAATTATAAAAATGAATTCGATTTCGAAAGTATTTTTATTTCTTTTCTTTTTTTTTTTTGTTTTCTAGAAATGCATCGTACACAAACGGATTTTGATAATCATTTTACAATAAAAGTGTTTATTTTTCAATTTATTAATATTTATTCATCTATTTTTTATATAGCTTTTATTAAAGGAAAGTAAGTATCGAAGTTTTTGCTTCGAAATTTAAATAAAAGTATTGTTTAGAGCTGCTGGTTATCCTGGACATTATGTGAAAATATTGAATTTACGACAAGAAGAAGTAAGAAATGAGATTATCTTAATTGAGATATACGTCAACTATCTCAATATCTTTGCCATTTGTTTTATTATCGAAATATTTCAATTAAGAGTATCTTGAAATTTATAAGCATTTTACTGCAGCAATTTTTTAATGAAGAATGATATAAGAGAACGATTCAATTGATTGAATTCATATGACTCAATCTATTATTTACCAATTTATTCCTAAAATATAATTTAAAGCTTTTGCATTGATATTTTTATCATAATTAGAATTCAGTGAACCTTAGGAATTTCAACGTGAAATTCCACTCACACATAGGTCATACAAACTTGATAGCGATGTAAATGTCATAGTATAAACGAATGCTTCTTTCTTGAGATATTAAGCTTTCAAGAAAACTCTCCTATGCTGTTATATGTGACGAAAATCAGCTTTTCTTGAAAATATAATATCTCGAAAATGAACCATTCATTGCAGCTGCGGCACTGAGATGTTGTCATCAACGTCATAAGATCTCTAAGAGGGGGAGGGGGAAATTTCACAGTAAAATTCTGTAATATAATTCTTTGATAAATCTAGTAAATAGACAATATATCAGCGTAAAAGCAAACTAATTTTCGAAGACCGACCAACCAAGAAGTGATGATCGTACTCTCTAAGATGTGATATCACTAAATTCATGAATGAAAACAATTAATTCAAAAACATTTTTATGTTTACAACAGAAGTTTATTTAATAGAATCATACTGAAGTATTTGTATATTCTTAGTGTGGTCCAGGGGGTTGTCTGGTGGAATTAGCAATACAATTAGGAATCATAATGATAGGTAAGAATATATATTATTTAATGGTATGATAAATAGTTTTTTTAGGTAAACAAACTGTGTCAAATATTCAAGAAGTAATGTGGCCGTAAGTTCTCTAACTTCTGTATTGATTTATTTAATAATAGAATATTTATAGAAAAATTCTTGCATTATATCAACGATGGGAAGTGTCAATACCAAAAACTAAATATACAACTCAATGGGAAGATGATTTTAGACATAGTGAATTTGGTGGTTTATTCCAAGAATATCTTGAAATGGGTAAAAGAAATAATTATAATCATTATTTGATTTATGTATTTTTCTTCTTCGACATTTAGTTTTACAATTTGGTTTTATAACAATATTTGTTGCTGCTTTTCCACTTGCTCCATTATTTGCATTACTTAATAATTGGATCGAAATTCGACTCGATGCAAAAAAACTTACTTGTGAAACAAGGTTAGTTCTTTTTTATCATCTCATCATTATAAATAAAAAGTTTCACTATCAATAGACGTCCAATTGCTTTTCGTTCATCAACAATTGGTATATGGTTTAATATTCTGCAAGTTCTTGCTTATTTAGCTATTGTAGCTAATGTAATAACAATTTATAGAGCATTTTTTTTTGAAAAGATAAGTTTTTTTCCTCTAGGCTTTTCTAATTGCATTTACTTCAGAATTTTTACCGAAAATTCTTTATCAATATACAGTTGATCGAGATTTAAAAGGTTATACATATTTCACATTAGCTAAAGCACCAGCAAATACTACATCAACAGAATGCATGTATGTAGTTTTAAGTATTAATTACACACATTTTGATATCGATTTATTATTAGGTATCGCGATTTTCGAAATCCAGATGGTACTTTAACTGTATTTTTTTGGAAATTACTTGCTCTTCGATTATTTTTTGTGATTTTATTTGAAGTAAATATTGTTTATTTCTTGTTTTGGATATTACTTATATGTTTTAAATAGCATATTGTTTTTGTTTTATGTCGTTTAACGGATGCTGTCATTGATGATATACCTGAATCTCTTTCAATTAAAATTCGACGAGAAAAATATTTAGCTAAACGTGCTTTACAAAATTCCAGTAGTTATAATCAAGTATAATTTTTATAGTTTATTTTGTTTTTTTTTTTCTTATTAATTTTTATCTGAATTGAATAGATCTTCGAAGAACTTGAAGATGATCATACATCACGATCAAAATTGACTCGTTTTTTTCGAGCTGGTAGATCAAAAACACCAGCTATTACTTCGATTGATATGCGACGAACAGATTAAAATGTGTATACAAATGACATTAACAATTCTCTCTTTTTTTTTTCGTTATTGGTCTTTATATTTCAGCTATAAAAAATATATCTAACTTGAAAATAATCATGCTATTGTAAAACTCAAATGCGGTTTCTTTTTCATTTTACTATTTATAATAGAAACCACTAACATTGATGGTTCATTAAATTGTCATTAGAAAAACAAAGGTACCTTCGAGTCTATATATTAGGCATATTCTATTCGATACTTTCACATTATTCTTCAATCGAACTAGCAATGGAGAAACGTGTATTGAAATTGGAATTTGATGTTGGTACAGCAAGTCGTTTAGCAACTGGCACTAATGATAACGTTGGTAAATCTATGGAACTTGTTCAACGTGAACGTGATCGTGATATAAAAGAAAAGGAAGAATTACGTTATTTAAATGATCGTTTTGCACATTTTCTTGCTAATATTGAACAATTAAAACGAATCAATGAACAATTACAAGCACAATTAAAAGATGAATTTTCTAAATGGGGCATATTGCCACGTGATGAAAATGAATTACGACAAATAATAAATCAAATTAATAATCGAGCTGGTCAACGTGCTAATGATGAAGTACGTTCACGCGCTGCTGAACAAGAATCTGCAATATTTAATCGTGCAGCTGCTTTATATGGAAATATTCATGAAATGTATAAACGTAAACAAGAAAATTTACGTACTCTTATTGATAAATTACAAGAAGAATTTAATCGCATTAGTCAACGTGAACGTGCAAGTGATGAAGAAGTTTCAACTAGTCGTGATGATTTAATGAAGGAATTAAAAAAATTTCATGAACGTTTACAAGATTGGCTTCGTATTGTTGTTGATAAACAAACATTATTAGATGATATACAATCGTTACGTGAACGTATTAATTTAATAAATGCATTAAATGAAGAAGAAATTAATGAATGGAAACGACTTTTAGAACAATCAAAAGATGATTCTATTTCATTTTATAAAGAAGAATTAACCAATGCTATACGAGATATTAAACGAGATTATTCTAAACAAGCGAAAAAATTTCAAGATGAACTTGAATATCAAATTGAAGGACAATTACGTATGGTTGAAAATCAACTTAAACAACAAGTACCTGGTGTAACTGATGGTTCAATGCAAGAATCCGAAAGAAATCGCATACAAATCGAAGAAACTAAATTACGTACAAGCATGGAAGTATACAGAAAACAAAAACGAACAATTCTTTTTTTTTCCCAATAGTACTTATGTTTATTTTTATTGTTTGTAGGAATATGATAAAGAACAAATTCGTTTGAATGAATTAACAAAATTATTATCAGAAAAACGTCGTTTATTACGTGATGAAGAAGCAAAATTACATGAAATTGAAAGAAAAATTCGTGATAAAGAATTTAATCAAAAAACAATTGTTGAAAAACTTAAATATGAATATGATACTTTACGTGAACGTTTTGAACAAATGGCATCTGAATTAAGGTTTAGTATTGAAGATGAACTTAAAATTTATGCTCGATTACTTGATGAACTTATGAAAAAATCAGGAACTACTTCAACATCAACTGTTACAAATCAATATGGTGGAAGTACATCAGCAACAACTTATACAACAACATCATCAACTATTCGATCAAGTGGAATTGAAGATCATAATGCTCCTTCAACTTATCAACAAACACGTACTACTAGTTCAAATCTTGGAGCTGGAAATGTTAGTTTTGATTTAGGAACTGCTAGTTCTACATGTCTAGGTACAAAAACAACAAATTTAGATACATGCACAAATCGGTTTCAACTATGTGATAATGATGTGTATGATACGACTTTAATACCTCGATCTTCATCATATTCACAACTTAATTAAAAGATTTTATAAACATAATTGAACTATAAAAATTCATTAATTTAATTAGATTACTTTTTCCTCATTTTATTTGATTAGATAGAAATTTATTCACTTAAAATATTTTCCTTTTTCCAGTTATGCAATTTTTTTAATCAAGTTTTATTTTTGAATAATACTAAGAAAAAATCAGTTTGTTTTGTATTTTGTTTGAATATCATAGCTGATGTCCAATGTCGTATAGATTCATTCTAACGAAATTATGAATGTAAATTAGTCGATCATATCATTTGAAATAATTTACAAAGAAAATCTACAAATTTAAGTTTATACGATTCTAAGAAGAGAACATTTTGAATAGATCAATTGTTTTTGAATTGGAACTGAATGCATAAGGTGGAGTACCGATAGGTATTTTACTAGAACTTTAGTTTCCAGCATGATCAATAGTAACAAATCGAATGACAGTATTTTGACCTAAGATTGTGCTTATACACATGTGTATTTATCAGTAGAATGTTCTGAAAATCTCAACTCAAAAGAAATTTTCTTCTCGAGGTATTAAAGTCTAAAAAACAGAAGATTCTTGCATCTCTTGTGAAATATGAGTGATTCTTTTGAGTTGAGCTTCTCAGGGTATGCTACAGACAAGAAATTTCAGTAAAATATCTATAACTCTGAACAGAAGGCATAAGGTAACATACAGTTTAGAAATTTTGCATAGCTCATCCAAACCTGACCTGTGCACTGAGTGCGAATTCACAAGTAATTGATCAGTTGATAATATTTCTTTGTAAACGTTTGGATTCAACTGAATACATAGTAAACTCAAAAGACGCTACTCTATTCAAAATTATTTGTACAAATTGAACGCTCTTATTCTTTGGTTGTAAAACTCATATATATGTATAAGCTAAGCTTTTATGCAGATTATAACTTGTTCAATACTTATTCTTTCATCAGTTATAGAGTATTTTCTATTTTGCTTGCGCTTTTAGTATAACAGCATCATTATAGGATGATACTGTACATGTATGTCACAGGGGAAAGAAGGAATTGTGACTTTATAGGTCAACGAAAATTCATAGATTCTTTCTCTCTACCCAAATTTTTTAAAACTCAGTGAAACTAAACAAAAACCATAAAATTGTGCAGAATCCTAGAGCGGTTGTCGGCCTAGAAAGTTAGGATTACTGTTGAAGCTCTAATTTGACAGAAGACCAGATGTTCAATATTATTACATCTACGTATATTATGATATCAAATCATAGGACTCTTCATGAAGCTCCATGAAAGATTTCGCAAGGTTTTGGGCAACCCTATTCGACTCTGTAAATATGAAATTTTATGATGTTGGTTGAAGTCTAACACAATCTATTGTTTGTTTTTGGCACATATACTTGACTGCAGACTTCTACAAGCAAACCGACATTTTTTGTCATCTTTCCGGAAACTCCATAACCAAATGATTAAGAGATAAATGAACTTCCGCGTTAAGGAAAAAATTATTCGAATTGTTATGCTATTTTTTTGTTCTAATATACTTTTAAATAAATGAAGAAAAATAAATCACATTTGAAGAAAATATATTTATAAATAGTTCATTTAAAAGAAATAAAGTTGTCTATTTTAAAGTTTCACTTGAAATTGTACAGGATTTGTTGGATTATTGGACGGATAGAATAGAGCTTGGCGCATAAATGTAGGATCAATAACAATTTTATTTGAATTTGATTTTAAACATTCATTATCATTAATTGATTGTGATGAACTAGTATATGAATATTAATAATAAGAAGATGAAATAAAAATGAATTATTCTTTTTATTATACCTCTTGTCTTTCGATGCTGTTGGTTTGGAATATCGTGATGATGAAGAATTTTTGGATGATTTTGTTGAATAAGATGGTAGTTGTTGAAGGCTAACATAAATTAATTGCCCATCTAATAATCGATTATGATATTTAGCAACTGCTTCTTCAGCATGTGCATGGTTTGAATAAACAATTTGAACACAACCATGACTTAATGTTATTATTTCATCAATATGACCAACTTCACTAAATAATTCCTAAATTAAATTATATTTACATAGATAGATATAGATATTTGAAATTAGAAAAGAAAATTTCATACAATAACATCATCTTCTGTAACTGATGGTTGAAGATTTGTTACTAAGACCGTTGTAGCATTTGAATTCGATTGTATTGATGACTTTTGTTTTGTCTAAATAAAATTATGAGAAATTAAGATCATACAATTATTAAAGTTATTAGAATTTACTTGTGTATTATCAAATGTCTTGGTCGATGTTCGTCTTAGAGAATTTTTTAATACTGTAGATAGATCTTGTTGTTCTTTGTCTATTGTTGTATGTCGTGAAGAACTACGTTTTATTGGTGGTTCGTAATGATCATCATATTCATCTAAATGTCGTCGATGAGAATTGATCGGAATTGGTGATCGAGATAAAGATGATGACTGTGTTGTTTGAATTGAAGCATCATGTAAACGTCTGATTCTTGGAGGAGGTGAAGGTGAAGTTGGCGATGGTGATTTAGGTCTTTTGCGGGATTGATCTTTTACAACACTGATACTAACTTTTTTGTCGAATGAAGATAGGTGGCTGTTGTGAGCTTGAAACCGATGAACATCATCTTCACGTTGGAATGATGTGTTTGTGATTGTCTTTCAAAATAAGAAAATATTACTGATTGTCTGAAAGAAAAAAAAAACACGAAATAGGCTTTTACTTTAGTAAAGGAAATTGATTCAGTTGACTTGGGTTTCTGAAAAGACACAAAAGTGTTATTCTTCTTTTCGAATGAAAAATCTGGAGTTTCGGCAACGAACTAGAAAAGAAAAAAAGTTTTTTTTCTCAAAATTTAATCATATTCGATCTTACTCGAGTATTGTTAAAACTACTGATATATTCTGCTTTTTGCTCATCATCATCTTGTTCATTATCATCATCTTCTTCAGTTTGTATAAAGTCTTTTTGCATTATCAGAGAAGTATTAGAAGTTTTTGATGATTGTCGACTTAATAATTGTCGAGCATCAAATATTGGTGTATTTCGATTTGTTAATAATTGTCGTGCATCTGTAATCATGCGATTTGTTGGTACACTTAGACGTTGATGAATTTGCTTATTATTATTGTTAGGTGTTGGCATGCTGAGTCTGTCTAATGCACTAATCCGATTGGTCGAATTAGCTGCTGTAGTTTTCGACGTAACTTTCATTTCGATAATCTAATTCAGTGTCAACAAGAAAAACAATCTAGAATAAGAATTTTAGTTGTAAAAAAAAACAAAGAAAGAGCATCCTGGAAATATCTCTTCGAGAATATATTTAGTCATTGAAATAAAAAAGAAAAAGAAGAATGAATCCTATAATCAACATCATCATATGACAATCTTTTGTTTTTTCAGGGTTATTACTTATAAAATTCAAAATCTTGTTCATTTTTCTTTACGACATTTTTATATGCTTTTTCAAAATCTTTTGCTAATACAATATAACGATTTTCACGTACAGCTTGCATACCAGCCTAGAGATAAAAGTAAATAAAAAGTTATATATTAAATGAAGATATAAATATCACATACTTCTTGACAAATTGAATTAATATCAGCACCTGATATGTGATCAGGACGTGCAACATAATCTTCTAAATCAACTTCATCACTTAAATTCATTTTACTAGTTACAGTTGAGAAAATTAAACGTTTTTGTCGTCGATCAGGTAAAGGAAATTCAATTTTACGATCTAAACGTCCTGGACGAAGAAGAGCTGGATCAAGTGTATCAGCACGATTTGTTGCCATGATAACCTTAAAGAAAATAATAAAACTTAGTTGTCTCCATCTAAGCGAACTTCTCTTCCTTTCGAATGGTAAAGTCTAAGTTTTTCTTTTTTCGTTTTTTGATATAGCTTCAAAGTGTTCTCTCTCAAATGATATACGGATGACGTCTCTTCGTTATTAGCTAGTACATTTATTAAAACCAATTCTCAAAATCCCTAGCAGAAAAAGTTGTACTGCGATTAGTTTTTGTTTTCAAAATTCTCCGAATGACAATGATTATGTCCCATTCTCAAATTGCTGAGAGCATGTGTCGTGGATCTCTAACACCGCTAACATGGTCAATTTTCCATCAATTTAGTTCGAGAAGAAAAGTTTTGATACACACAAGAAATTTTTTTTTTTCGTTTTTCTCGAAATCGTCTCCGTTTCTCCGACATAGTATGTTGAATCAAGTTGAAAATTTTAATTACACGTACCAGACACTGTCTCGTATATTATTTGAAGGTACGTTTAGTATTTTGATCTTTTCATTCAAATGGAATGAGATAAAAAGAAATCAAGAAATCTCTGTACTACAAGCAGTGTCTAATATCTCGAAAGAAAAATTCCAGTTCTGTCGAATGTAGTGCGACAATGAAAATAGGGCAATTTTTTGGATCTTGTGATTCAGATACATTCTAAAAGAAAATATTTCGAGTCTATGATTACTTTTGCTCTACTCATTGAGATCTATCTATCATGAAAGTTTCAAATATTTTTGATGAGCCATTTTTCAGAAGTCTCAAAACGGAGAAGAATTCCCTTACGAATAATTTACTTTAACGTTAATGCTTTGATCGAAACCATCCATTTGATTGAGTAATTCAAGTAAAATACGTTGTACTTCACGATCAGCTATAAAAAAAATAAGATGAATAATGAAATAACAGTATTTAAAATCTAACCTCCTGTTTGAGCATCGAAACGTTTTGTAGCAATTGCATCGATTTCATCGATAAAAATTATAGCAGGAGAATTTTCTAATAAGATATTAATATATATTAAGATGTATATATATATATTGAATAGTTTCATACCTTTAGCAAGACGAAACACATCTCGAACCATTCGAGGACCTTCACCAAGATATTTTTGAACAAATTCAGAACCAACTACACGAATAAATGAAGCTGTAAAAAAAGGCATCAAATAATAGAACATGAATATCAATAATATTAAAATCTTCTAACCAGTCGTATGTCGAGCAACAGCTTTAGCCAACATTGTCTTTCCACAACCTAGAAGAAAAAAAAAAAATTTTTAAGAAAATAAAATATTTAAATAGTTTACCAACCTGGAGGACCAAACATAAGTACACCGCGTGGTGGATCAATACCAATTAATTTATATAGTTCTATAAATACAAAAATAAAAAAAAAGATTTTCATATCTAAAAATTCACCGAAATGTGTCAATGGTAATTCAACAGCTTCACGAATTTCTTGTTTTTGTAAATCTAATCCACCAATATCCGAATAATCAACATCCGGTTTTTCATCTACAAATTATTAATACAAAAATTTCATAAAAAAAAATAAAAAAATAATTTGATAATACCAGCTTGTAACATGGAAATGCTACTGTCTGATTCTGGTGGAAGAATATCAACAAGTGCATTTGAATGTTTATGTAAAGCAACACTAGCACCAGCTTTTAAAAGTTCTCGATCAATTGTTGATAAAATTCGTACATAATAATTTGAACCTGAAAAATTTTCAAAAACATGAAATTTTTTCGATTGATCCATAATGAAGATCTTAGATTTATTTTTTAACCGCTTGCAATCGTTCGAACAATGGTGTTCTACAACGAATGTCTTCTCAAATTAAAGTAATAACCTAACCAAGTGATAAATTGATATTAGAATGAGTATTATCTCATTAAGTAAGTCCTATTGAGACTAAAGAAAGCCTAAAAGAATTTGCGCTCATGGATCTTTCTTTTTGACTGATAGATATTTTAATGAATCGTTTGTTCAATCGAAGGCGATAATTTCGCTCATACAATCTGTCAGATCAACTATAAGATTAAAGCTTTGTACAAATAAAGTTCTCAAAAATTATGCATCAACGATTTTTCAATATTGATTTTTTAGGATTGAACATACTAGAGAAATTCTTATTTTCAGAGTGAACTAATCGAATTGAGGACTTTATTTGTGCATAGTTTGAATTTCAAAGAGTCAATATGAAAGATGATCTGTAAAAGAAACAAAATTTGGTTGAAAAAGTTACTAAAATGGCTATAGCTCAAGATGAAACATACATGAGTACGAATCCTTTTGAGACCTTCTCTCATTATAATAAAGCCTATATAATTATGTAACAATTATTTGAAAAGTGTTTTATCATTTGACAAGATGTTTTTGTTAATCCGATGGCATGACAGATCGTTTTACTCTTCTAATTTACTATTAAACGAACCAAAACGAAAGCCACATTTTGTTTAGAAATTTGTTTAAACAAAAACAAATCTTTGTTCATTACCTGTAGTCGATCCAACAATGCCAGTATTTTGATCAACAGCTTCAAGAAATTGTCCAATAACAAGTGGTACACTTTGAATACGTTTTATTTCTTCTTGTGCATGTAACATTTCTTTTTTTAAATTTTTTAATTCTGTTTTAACATATGCTTCTTGAACTTCTAAGAATTCAAGTTGTCGTTGAAGTTTCTAAATAAAGAAGAAACAATTCTTTTGTTTTTCCACAAAACTCAACAATGCATTTCTAATAAATCAAACTTTATATTTTGTATATAAATCATCACTATCAAGTGATTCATATTGTGATGAAAGAATATAGTTTTGTTGAACAATTCGACCTAGATCTTCCTTTTAAATTAAATAAACAAAATTAATAATACATGTTTTCTTAACCAATTTGCAAACCTCTTTAGGAATAAATACTGGCATATCTTCCACTATTGCAGTCATATTTCAATTATTAAAAGATATCTAAAATAATTTATAACCAAAGAAAAAAAAAAAATCATATATCATTCGCTTTTCTTTTTTAAAATAAATATCAAACAAAAGAAATGAACACCGAACTATTTATATAGAACAAAAACGAAAATACTAATTTGGAATTAAAGGTAAACGTAATTGCTGTGGTGGTATCGAAGAATAAAAAAGAAGATAAGCATGAACATTATGTGCAAGTTCACGTATGTCAGCTGCACGAATTGAGTGATCATCACAATAATACCATTGTTTCCCATCATTACAATAAGATGTATAATGACCACTATTCATCGAACCATAATGATTTACAACTGATATAAGAGAATATCTTGATGGTGATGGTGTTTGTGACCAACGAGAAAAATCAATATTTGATGTTGGATATCGTATTAAAGTTTCATTTTTTATATATTGTGTTTGTTGAAGACGAAAACTAGAAATAAAAAACTATTTATAAACCATCGAAGATGTGATTTCTATTAGAAATACAACACAAGATTGATTCATATAAAATTCACTGGATTAAAATTACTATTCATCAAACTACATTCATACAGATAAATATCTTTCTCACTATAAGTTTTCACTGAAAGGTTATTAAGATTCTATTTATTCTTATATGATTCATATCTTTCAATTAAACTCAATATTCTTGTATTTAATCAGATAGAATTCGTAAAAGCATATAGGATAAAAACTCATATCTTAAATGCACATGTAGATCAGCATGTAGTGTAATTGTTGTAATGTCATAATATAATATGTAACAGTAACAATCATGGATAAAAACCAATCTCGTTAGTATTTAAATATGCAGAAATTTGAAAACATTGGTTTAGAATCAGAATTTTGTCTTCTTTCAAGTTATGACTTCTGATTTCAGAGTTATGATTTGATATTTTTAAGATCCATAAATTATTGAGTTTGCACAAACTTCAGTGCGCCGACACTTACCAAAGTAGAAATGTAAATTATTTCATATACAATCAATGACAAAGCAAACATTTCTCCTTAATATGGAACACTAGTGCTTAGTTTACTGTGATTCATGTGTCAATAGCGAGAAATTTAGAAAGAGACACTGTACTAATTCAGGCGAATCTCTATGGCAAACAGACGTACAAAGAAAGCTCAGCAATTTTTGCGTAATTGCTTTGAAATTTCTGATTCTTATATGACTCTATAGAAACCAATTGTGCCTTAAATTCAATGCAAGAATATCGGAAATATAATATATGCAATAAAGAAAAATATTGCCTTAAAAATGCCAATTTTCTGCGTTCAAATTCAATTTTCGCGCGTCTAAAAAGTCGACTCATAACTCCTAAACGTAGAATCAAGAGAAATGTTGAATCTACATTCAGAAATAATGCAAAACTTAGATTCAAATTCATGGTTGTCAAATTTCTATAAGCTCATTCAAGAAACTGAACAATAAATGTATAGTTTGTTGAATTACGTTGCGATCAGCTGTTATCTCGAAGAATCATCTAATCTTACGAGTAAATATTCCTTTAAATTAAATCAAAGAATTCAACAAAGATCTTTAGAATTTGAACTGATAAAGTTTTTTTCAAAAGTTGCAACTATTCTACTAGTTTTTCAATCTAGCGCAAGGTATTCTTAAACATGTTTAAAAAATCAGCTTTAGTTTTCAATTTCGCCGATATATAATTAATTCAATCTTTATGCCATTTATATACAATATCGCAATCAATTCTTTGAGAAAGAAACATTGTGACACATACTAACAAAGTCGTGAGCTTGTGTCTTTCTATCATATACTATAAGAAGAAAAAAAATATCGAAAAATATTTAAAACTTTGTTAGAAGAAAAGAAGCTTTCTTTGAATCGTTCAATATTAGTTATTATTACCGTTTAAAATGCACAATAAATATTTTTGGTAATTCCCAAATATCTAGACGTCGTTTTTTTGCTGATAAACGTTTACAATTTGAACATTCATAACGTTCTTCACCTGTTAAATTTTCAAATTCTCGAAATAAATCTAAACAATCATCCAATGAACATTGTCGAATAGGTGGAATAGGTACACTTATTATTGCAAATGCATCAAAACGAATAGAATGATATGAACATGACAAACATATTGTTGTCGATTTAAATAAACCATAGAAAAGATCAATTATTATTGATTTATTATGTGAAAGAAATGCTTGTTTGCTTGCTTCAGCTAATTGTCGATCATTTTTATAATTTTCTGATTTGAGTTCTTCAATACGTGGACGAGTAGCCTATGAAAATAATATATAAGAAAAAAATCATGTTTTTCAAATTTATTTTTCATTGACAGTTTTCGTTCTCATACTTGATTAAGATCTTCATGCAATGAATCAAGTAAAAAAACAAGAAATTCATGTGCATCTTGTTGTTGTGTACCTAAATAAGCATGTTGAAGTGTTCCAACAATATATTTAAATGGTTGTGGTGCAAGATATGAATATTGTTGACACCATAACAAATAAATTAATTTAAACCATTCTTTAACAACTAATCCACCTGAACCAAATTTATTCTTTGTATTTATATCTTTAATAAAATCACCTTTTAAAAAGTAATTTGTTAATATGAAATTAAAACTTAAAGATTGAATTATTGAATTCATATAACATGAATTTCCTAGATTTTTTAAACCAGTACGATAATTTATTTGTAAATTATCAGATATTGCACGATAATCATATGCTATTTGATGACGTGTTTGTTCAGTTAATATTGGTTTAGCTTCACGATTGATTGTTGGTGTTATCTGATTAGAACTTTTACTTGTTTCAATTTCTGGAATATCTGTTACGTATCGATTATTTTTAGTATCGAGAATTATTTTACTAATAAAAAAAAAAAGAGAGACAATAAAAAAATGAATACTTGAATAAAAATTTGAACATACCGACCCGTGACAGCATCAAATTTCTTTTTATATTGATCATTTGTATTATTAATTGGTACAGTTCGATTGAATGGACGATAGATGGGAAGTGTTTCACGATTTGGTATAGGAAATTTTGAAGTATCTTTAGGTGGAATATTTTCTCTATTCAAATCATTTTTATTTTCATTTGTATCAAGTGGTTTTGGATGTTTTGAGATTTCAGGAGTAATATTAGTATTCGAAACTATTGGTGTGGCCGATGAAGGACGTAATGGGATATCTGGCACAACTGGAGTAATGGGCAGTTGTTCACTTATTGATGAAGAAAGTCTAAAATAAAAAATCGATGTAAGCCGATTAAGATTTTAAAAAATGAACGTCGTATATATTAAAGATAAATGAATTATATATATAGAGATGCTTGTTTTCAGAGATTGTTATTGTCTAGCAGCGAGATTTTCGAATTACGCCAATTTGACTATGAATTACATATGAATTACAAAAATTTCTATTTGCAACATGTGATAGATTATGTTCGTCTATGTCATAGCTGTAAATTTTATATTTCACTTCAGATAATAATTGTTCAATTGATGCCTGTCACAATTCTTACTGTTGCATCAAGATTTGAAATCACTGAGAGAACAAAATAAGCAACAAACCCAGAGTATGCCTGTAGCTGTGAGTCACTTTTTAACTTGCATCCAAAATAGAACCATAACTGATACAATCAAGTCTTTTGCTCATCTTTTTGACGAATCTATTTGTCGTGGAGGAAAAGAAAAGCAAAACAAGAATGATGTTTCCAAATCAAACTAATCAGGTTCATCATCAAATGAGCATTATGCTGTGCTCATTTGTTTTTTTCTTAGTATTAATCTCGCTTTTTTTTTCTATTCAAATATACTGTAAGTGTATGCTACCATATTTATACTTCAACAATATTGGTTTCAACCCTTACATGTATCCTACGTTAATATTGTTTTGTGACAGTTTGCGAAAGATCATCCTACTTTTGCCAACACATCCTCTGAAGTCTTGCCATTGGTGAATTTCCTATTAATGAAAGTCTTATTGCTAAAATTCTGACCACTCGTTGTTTTCTTATTAATACGCTCTCTAATACCATTTTCTTCATCTTTCATTTTGAAACTCAACAGAATCAGAAAAATTTTTAAAAGACGTATTGAAGATTTTGAAACTGCTATTGCCAGTGAATGCATCAGCTTACATCCCTAGATAGAATTAAGGCAAAAAAACAATGAATAAAATCAATAAAAATCGTTTATAAATAGCGTCAATAATATGGAATTTTTTATTCTTATTTATATTATGTCAGCAAGTATCTATCTCCGAGAAACTATCCTTAAAACGCTTTCTATTAGAACTCACTCTGATGGTGGCGGTGGTACTGGTTTGATTGATCGATCTGGAATTTCAGGTTGTTCTTTCGTTACTACTACTGGCGGTACTGGTGCTGGTGTTGGTGTTGGTTGTTCTTCTTCTACCTATAATAAGAAAAACAAACAATTCATCAAAATAAATGATAAAGCATCTAATTCTTACTGGCTTAATTGGTAATTCTTGTTGTTCGATAACTGATGATTCAGGTTTTTGATTATTAATAGGCTTTCGTGTTCGATCAACTTGTGGAGCAATGGCTGGTGGAATGATTGCTGCTTCAGGTTGAACAGCAGTTGCTGCATCACTTGATACTTCTTCAGGTATGTACACATCATCCGGATAGGAAACCTCTTGAACACAAAAACTATGAATAATAATTAATAAAATCTGCTATCTAACCAAATGATCGAATTTCTCCAATATTTTTTTTCGAATTTAATGGTGCTGTACTCTCGCCTGGATAATATATCATCCAATCTTCGTAACCACCATCAAGAATTAATGGTTCATGTTTAAGTTTGATATCTCGATCAAACTATAAGAATATTCAATTAATAAAACGAAATGAACTAAAAATATGATTTACTGAAAATATAGCTTGTTTTAAACCCATTAAACAATGTCCAGGTTTTAGATTATTTTCATAAGTATCTTCATCAAACAAAACAATAT